TTAGTGTTCTTTACGCTTGGTGTAAACATGTACACACTTTTGGATGCAGGATGTATTTCTAGTTTTTCTTTGCAAAGAGTGTGTCGGAGGCAACGGTGGAGATGGCTGGTGTTGGCAAGTGCTGGGTGCTGCCCAGGGAAGGTAGCAGGGACAGGAGCCCGAGGGGACACAAGGTCAAAGAAGCACCCCTTTCAGGTGGGCCATCTGGACCACACTGGCAGGAAGGACATGGTGTGCAAACAGTTCTAGCTTTGGGATCCCAACATGGGCTCACCCTGTAAAACATTCTGCCCTTACAGCCTGGGTGTCATAATGGTATTGAGTATTTGTAGTTTTGTTTTGTTTTTTGGTGGAGGTACTGGGGTTTGAACTCAGAGCCTTACACTTGCTAGGCAGGCACTCTACCACTTGAGCCACTCCTCAGCCCTGCAGTTGAATTCTTTTTTTTTTTAATTTTATTATTCATATGTGCATACAAAGCTTGAGTCATTTCTCCCCCACTCCCTTACCACCCACTCCGCCCCCTTCCTCTCCCCTCACCCCCTCAATACCCAGCAGAAACTATTTTGCCCTTGTCTCTAATTTTGTTGTAGAGAGAGTATAAGCAATAATAGGAAGGAACAAGGGTTTTTGCTGGTTGAGTTCTTGATACCTGAATATGAGCTCACTCATCATGGATGAGAAGCCATGTTTGTTTGTTTAGTTCCGATGATATTTCTACTTGGTTAGAAATGAATGTCTTCCTCTCAGAAGCCAGACGGAGTTCCAGGCACTTTGGGGTGTAAGTAATTATGCTGTTACAGAGTTACAGTAGTTTTGTATCTAGAAATCTCTAAAATGTTAATATGAATTGTGACATGTTTGATGATAGTGAAGGAGGAAACGATTTTTGGATTAAAAAGAAAAGAAAAGGGATGGCTTTGTCCCTGAATGGCTGGATGGCTGTCACAGAACTGGCTCAGCGGCTGCAGAACTGCTAATGAGGGAAGCCGTCAGCCACATGAAAGGCTGCGGGCGGCCTTCTGGCTTCGAGACTTCCCTGACTTGGTGTGTGGCTCGGCTGGCAAGTTACTGGTAGAAAAAGAAAATAGTCACTCCCCAGCTGTTCCATGGCAGGACAACATGTTAAATTTAACCATTAAATAGTTCTAGAAGCAAAAGAACAGGTGGCAAATAGTCTCCAAGGCAGATGGTACTTTTTAATATTTGTATTTGATAGTAATTTGAACAACTAGAAACCGTAACTACTCACTCATATTTCACCTTTCTCACTTGACTGCTGCAGAAATGGTGGGCCAGGTTTTAAAAATAAATTCTACCACTCTTCAAAGAAGAACCACATCATTTATCCTATCCAATCAGATGGGTACTGTCACCATGTTAGCTTCCTCCAAACCAAAGCACAAACTTTGTCCTTCCTACCATAGGATCTGAACAGAAACATGGTCCACAAACTGCAGGCCAGAGAGTCTCCATCCAGGGGACTCCTCCTTTTACCTGTCCTTTCTTGATAAACAACAAAGTTCTCCTTGAACCAGAGAGCTTTTCCCCCTGAAGGAGTTCCTTCTGTCATCTGAAGCCCTGGGGCAGAGAGGCACCCTGCAGAGTGAGGTGAACTGAGTGTGGTCAAGACCTGCCTGTGGCCAATGATGGGTGAGGCCCTGCTCTGCTCTCCCTTCCTTGGGGGCTTGTCCCACTGTCCCAGCCTGCACAGTCAGCAGGATAGGCAGCAAGCATGTCTTCACATGAGCCTGTCCTCCATCCTAAATTATTCTGCCTCACACCCAGATTCAGGAGTGGACAGGTAAGTGACAGCATCAGAAATTACTTCAATGAGCAGACTGTCTGTGGTCCACCCTGCCATGAGGACAGCAGTTCTGTATCCAGGACATGCTGAGTTCAGCTGAGCTCTGTGCTCCATGCAGGCAAAGCAGGGGCAAAAAGACACAGCCCTGCAGGTGGGGGGTGTGCTGCCAGGAGGGGACAGGCATGTGGACAGACTGTCATGAGCACAAAGCTGCTAGAGTCCTGCCTATGGCGAGCCTTGGGGCTCTGGCCAGGACACTGCATGGTGAAGAAGACAAGCTCATTATACCAGCCTGGCACTGGTCACTCAGCTGCCATCTGTAGGGTTCTTCCTCGGAACTCCAGACACACTGGGGCACGGAATTAAGGGGCTGGAATTCTTCTGGCTCTGAGCTATTTCTTTCAGCTAATGGAACATGCCCCCTTCCCGCCACCAGGTGAGCTCATCTGCACCCCAACACAGGGACTTGCAGCCCCTTCAATGGCATTCTCCTCATGTAAACAGGCTTTCTCCACCGAGGCACTATAAATGTTGGGACAGGATCACTGTTCTCCTGTGGGGCGTGGGACATAAGGCAGCTTCCTCGGCCCCCACTCAGTACAATTCCTCACATTAACAATCAAAACCACTTCCAGCCAAATATCCCAGGGGAAAACTGTCCCCAGTGGAGAGTCATTAGCCCAAACTATGGGGGCAGGGGACTCAAAGGCCATCTGGCTTTTATTACCAAGTCAAGGGTATAAACAAAATAGTCAAGCTCACTTGTCTAAAATGAGAATCATTACCTTCCAATTTAAAGCTGAATCTCTCACCTGTAGATAAACCAAGGGCCGCAGGCTTTTAGATCTTGGGCCTGCAGTCCTGAGCAAACTGCAGAAGACTGAGTTTTCTGCCCACCAAAGCCTGTTTGACTGCTGACACCATTCTTTTCCTTCCACTACCCACTTCTCCCCTCACAGGCACTGTCCGCCATCTGTCTCCAGCCTGGTTCAACCTTTCCAGGGGCGTCTAGAATTTCCTAGTGAGCTGCTCATTAGAACAGCCAATTTCTTCATCTCGCTCCTTCCACAGGCTACTAAGACTGGTCAGAGATGCCCTAAGCAGCAGTAGGTAGCTGTCCATCCCCTCAGCTTCTCCTCACCTTGGCTTGCAGAAAGTGCTCAAGGGGAATTCAATGCAGGTTTTCATCATGGACACAACCAGCCTCCCTCAATGGCCTCTACACAAGGGGCTGGGGTGGGGGATGCCCAGGACCACACGGCCAGGTGGACATACCTCCCAAAGAAGGTATGTGAAGTGCCCTCATGTGGAGTGCCCCTGGCTAGAGCCACATACACCAGCAGTGTCCATACAGTGACCAACTCAGGGGTAGGCTTGGTCCTGACCTGGCCCCAACTGGGTTTCTGCTCCAGCTTACCCTCTGTCCTCTAGTGCAGGGTTTTCAGAGTCAGTGGACCAATGCCAACACCACCATCTTGCAGAAACATACAAGGTGCACAACACCAACCCTTATCTTCTTCCAACGAGAGCCCAGTGTGACTGACTTGACTTCAGAAACTTAAAAAACGCAAATGTGAAAAGGTGCCGAGTTCTCACATTGTTTTATAAATCATATGAAAAATGCAAAGGAGAGCCACCCTGGGGTGCAGTTTTCAGGTCTAAGATGAATTTCCATGGAAAATAATGTCACTCTTCATAAATGTTAGTGGACTGACAGGTTTTAACCAATGTCTTGATGCAGTTGTAAAATGGGTTCCCTGCAGAGACCAGCAATGTGTCTAATTTATTCCTCTTCATCCACATCCAAGTTCATGGACATGCAGAAGTAGAAATAAGATTTCATTCCTGAGAATACATCCTGCCGATCGACTGATTCGTCAAGCTGATTTAAGGAAGCAAATGCCAAGGACCCAGTGTTGAAAAAGACCACATCCAATTTACCAGAAGCAAAGTCAACAAAGCAAAACCACGCTAAAGAATTGGCAAGTAGTGAGACTTGTATGTGTGCGTGTGCGTGTGTGTGTGTATGGGGACATGTGTGTATGTGATAATCCAGTGATCAGTGAGGTGGGTGAGCATCTCTGACCCAAGGTGCTGGGGACAAGGAATATGTTTTGGATTTTAAACACTTTCAGATCTGGGCTATTTGCATAGCCATCAGACATGTTAGGTATAGGACCCAGATCTAGACATGAAATTTGATTAATTTATATTCACATTGCACACATTAGCTGAAGGTAATTTTATACAGCATTTTCATAATTTTGTGCCGGAGTCAATGTTTTATGGAATTTCCCATTGTGACGTCATGTAAGAAAAGTTAGGTGGTAAAGTTTTGGATTTTGGCTTGCTTCAGATTCTTGATTTTTGGATTTAGGATGTTCAGCAAGTACTAATGTGGTCATCCATGGATTTTTCACTTAAGTTTTACCGTATTACGTAAATAACGAAAGCTACAACAGCGCCCGCCCCACAGAAACAGATGATTTTCTCTGTGCCATTCCAAATCAATGTTGCTATGGACACATTTGGAGAACCAGCATTGCACAGGGATGCTGACTCCAGGCAACAGCCGGTGGTGAACGCTCAGGGGCAGAAGCTCTGCCACTGTCCAGGCTGGCCTTCCACCCCGCTCCTGAGCCAGGATGGTGGAACCTCTGTACCTTTCAGAATGCCCAACACCTTCTCCTGGGATTCTTCAGGAGGGACACCACCCACAGAGCTCACGAGATGAGATGGCTCTGAGCCAGCACCCTTCTCACACCCAGCCTGTCTGGTGGGGGACATCCCACACTGTCCCATGTACATCAGGATGCCTAGGGATAGCCTCTTGTGGCCCAGCACTGAGATCTGGTGTGTCCCCAGCTCTGTCACCTGTGTTCTCTGGTGAGCTTCCCTTGCTTTCTAACTTACTCCACACAAGAAAATTACCAAGATCTTAGCACTAAGACCAGGATTCCTGGCTCAGCAGTGTCCTATGGAGTCTCACCTCAAGCAAACCCCAACTGAATGGCCCTCCCTGGAGCTAGACTCAAACATCCCAGAGCACAGTTATCCAGGCTGAGTCAGTGACCAGGAAACCGTGTCCCCCCACCCGCCCCCCTCCACACACACACATAGCCACTGGCCTAATCGGCCGACTATGGATTCTGAACACAGCACATGGTGCCCCGAGATGGCACTCTGTGCCTACCTGAGAATGGGGCAGCCCGGAGGGGTATCTTGATGGGTGTCAACGTCAGAAAGTGGCACGGCTGCATGCTGGAGGGAGATGGGCCCCGGAGTCCTTCAGGGTCTACAGAGACCATGGCAGCAGCAGCGGCGGCGGCGATGGCAATGGTGGGACTGTTGCTGATTGGCTTAAGACTGTTATGGCAACCACCTGTGGAAAAGAAATGTGAGGTCAGCAGGGGGCCCAGATGCCTGTTTCTCTAGGACAAGGTACAGCTCCCAATAAACAAGCCAGAGCAGCACCAGCCCTCTTTAATGGGTGCCATCTTCCCTGAATAAATGCTTTTGAGGCATTCTTAGCCTGTCCCTTGCACAAATACATGGCTATGTGACGGTCTGAGTGCCGCTGTGATGACAGTCACTAGGACAAGTGCACCTTAATGGGGAACTCCATGTACACGTGTGGCAGGCATCATCAGAAGTGATCGTGCTGTTACTCCCCGGTGCAGAGCCTGGGACAGCCAAGGGCAGGCATGCAGAGAATGGGGGACAGTCTGCAGGAAGGGGCAGCAGTGGGAGAGGGCAAGAGGGTTTCCAGAGTGCCAGGGGGCTCAGCTTCTCACCGCAGGGTGTGACCAGCCACTACCTCCACTTCAGAGGAAAAATCAACATCCCAGGTGAGGACTCAGACTCCAAATGTGGAACCCAGGGGACATGAAAGCCACACAGGAGCTCAAAGCTCATCAGAGTAAGGGAATAAAGCAGATTTTAAAAGCATTTAAAGCTGGTGGAGTGCCTCAAGTGCTACAGCGCCTTCCTGGCAAGCAAAGGGCCCTGAGTTCAAAAGCATTTAAAAGCCAGGCATGTTGGCACATACCCATAAACCCAGTTACTTGAGACATGGAGGTAGGAGGAGCACGAGTTCGAGGCCAAAACAAAGTTAAAAAGAAAAATTGCGGAGCATAACTGAGGTGGTAGAACACTCACTCAACAATCTCCAGTACCGGAAAAAATATACTAAAAACATTTAAATGTCTACACTAGGGTCACTCTGTCAACTGATCTTTATGTGGTTGACAAGGTGTCAAGCAGGCCCAGCTCTCAGGGACAGAGCAGAGAACCAGTCAGGTCTGTCTTCAGGAGTGCACCTCCCAGCTAGGAAGGAGGCTCAGTACATGTGTCGCTTTCTTTTTTTTTTTTTTTTCATGTTATTGCTTGATGGACTAAAGAAAAGGGATCAAGAGCTGGTGGGTGGGTCCCAGGAAAGTCTTCCCTGGGAAGGGCACATAGGTAAAATCCACCAGAGGCAAGGAGTGGAGCAAAGCTGGCACTTGGGAAGAGAGGTTCGGGGAGAAGGAGCAGGAAGTGCAAAGGCTGTGGGACAGATGGTACCCTGTGTGTTCCAGGAGCTTCAAGGAGATTGGGGTGAAGTGGACAGGGACAAGACATGGGGAGATGAGGAAACGGGGCCAGTCAGGGATGAGCAGGCTGAGAAGGTGGACACAGGTGTGGAGATGACAGGTTTTACTGAGCGTGAGGTAGACTGTGGGAGGGTGCGGGGTGCAGAGTGGATGGGCCTGTCTGATACTCATGAGGTTGTAATCCTGGCTCTGTCTGGGGACAGACAGGTAGGGGACAGAGGGCTCAGTTCTGGATGGGATCAGTGTCAGAACCTGTTGGATGTGGGTCTCAAGAAAACATTCACACAGGAGAGAGAAATCCGGAGGAATGCAGAAGGCATTTAATATCATGGTATCAGATAAGTTTTAAAAAGTATATGAAAAAATGAAAGAAAGGCGTGACCATGGATAGATCAAGATGGCAGAATTATGGTTGACTTTCTCCCTTCTTTCCTGTCTCTCCATATTTTCTAAACTCTCTATATCGAGCATACACAGACTTTTAAAATTAAATTTAAATTTTATCAAGATGTACATAAAAATTAAGCAGTAAGTATGGGTTTCCCCTCCACAGTTTCTTTATTAGCACCTTGCACTGAGGTGGGTCACTTGCACTAGCTGCTGTCATGGACTAAAGCCCAGGGTTTGTCTTTTTCGGTGTTGCACATCCCGCGGGTTTGATGAATGGTCAGTTTCCACCATCACTGCATCTCACCGAAGGCCTTTACTGCCAGAAAGCCCCTGGGCTCCAGCTGCCCCATTTCTTCCCCAACCCTCATGGCCATAGATGTTATCACTGTGGCCAGTTTTACCTCTTTTAGGAGTCATATAACTGGCACCAAAGATTATGTAGCCTTGCAGATTGACTTCTTACATTTAGCAATGTGCATTAAGTTCCTTCATGTCTTTTTATGACTTGGTAATACATTTCTTTTTCTTGCTGAATAATATTTTGTTACAATTATGTAACAAAATAGTTTCTTTCTCTATTCACTTGCTGAAGAACACACATCTTGGGTGCTTGGGCAGTTAGGATTAAAGCTGTTACAAACATGAAAATCAGCATGCGGATTTGCATGTGGATGTATGTTTCCAGCTCCTGTGGGTAAACACTGCAGGGTAATTGCTGGATCACATGCTACCTGGATGGTCAGCTCTTTTATACACTGCCGGGCTGCCTTCCCAGGTGCCAGCTCCATGCTGCACCCCCACTAGCAGGGAAGGAGGGTGCCTGCTGGTCCACATCCTTTCCAGTATTTGGTGTCACCAGTGTTCTGGATCTGTTCCATTCTACTCAGTGTGCAGTGGAATCCCAATGTTGTCATAGAGAGATTTTAAAGTCAGAAAAAAAGGCACGACTCAGCATATACCATCTTAATAACCAAACACGCTACAGAAAATTTATAAAAAAGAGTAAGTGTATGACCTCTGGCCTCCCTGCCTCAACACTGACCATCTTCTGTTTTGTGGCCATTTTCTGGTCACATGGTTGACTGTGTTGGGATGAGTCACACAGCACGCTTGCTTTTTTCTTTAGATATTACAAAATAAACCCTTCCTTTATCATTAAATGGCTTTCAAAAGTCCAACCATTACCCAGAGTCCTGTATTCCAGGGAAGGGAAGTGCCACATAAATGTGTCATATTCACTTATCCAGAGCCATCATGGCATCAGTGTCGCCACTATAAACAACCATGCATAAAAAACGGTGTCAACATGTTACATCTGCATGCATTAGCATGCACACACTGTCAGCATTGTGAGGTGTGTACGTAGCTGTCTGTTTAATACAGTAATTTTATGGACTACACTTCCAGCCCCATTTGAATGTTTCTTATTCGGTGACTTCTCCCTCTGGGGAGGTCTACTTCTATCCCACTTCACCACAGCTGTTGAAAATGCAGCTGGAACGTAATCAAGTGTGTGCTCTGCTCAGTGCCTCTGGAGTAGATGTCAGGGGATAGTCCTTGTGGGGCTGGCCAAGAGGAGGTGACCGCAGTTAGACGTGGGAGCTCTAAATCTCAGAAAATACTGGATGCCTCCACTGGAAAGAGAATTTGGGCTCAGGAGATTTGTGAAGTCCCTCGGGCCACCAAAGTGCAGCCCATTGCCCCCCAGGACCCAAGTCCTGCTCAGCCCAGGGATCCCCCAGGAACCAGCCCTCTGTGGTCACTGACTCTTGTCCTCACATCATGACTCACTCATGAGCCATATGAGATGGCCCTGCAGCAATGCCCTGCTCTCTTGCTGCTCCCCCACACCATGCCAGAGGTGGACCCTGCTGCCTGCAAGCAGGGAGAAGTGTTTGGGAATCAGCATCCTGCTTGGGACCCTGGGCTCCCAGGTGGGGAGGGGCCGTTCAAGGCCCCCACGCACAGGAAGGAAAACTTAAGACATTTGTCTCAACGGTTAAGAGAGCAGTCATCCTGGGAGTCAGTGCACAGAGGGTGCTTAGGGAGCCCAGCTCCTGATCCAACAACCAAATGACCTTTCAGGTCTGAGCTAAGACTGTACCTGCAGTTGCCTCCCCACATCACTGTGGGCAGTGTGGCGGGTGTGTGGCAGGCTCTGCAGGGTTCAGGGCCAGGACTCAGGCACGGGGGTCAGCTGTGCCCCTGGTGTGCTGCATCCCTGCAGGGTGGCACCTTCACACCTCGGTCTCTCCATTAGAGTAAGGCCTGAAGCAGAGGTCACCTCCAGGGGCCTCAGCTGAGGCCTCCTCCTGGGAGGACTGACCACGGTGACCCTGAAGACACTCTCCCATTCTGACCCAGGACCCACTTTGTTCACTCCAAGCCCTTTCCTCTGTCCTTCCCCACCTCAGGGTCTGCAAAAGGCAAGAGCCCTCTGTTCAGGGATTCCCAACAATGACAGGGCCCCACATCTGCATCTGTGCTGACCACTTGGCCCTAGACCTTGTACTGTTTTGTGGAAGAGGTAGTGGACCAGAGAGAAGATTAAAGAGTTAAGGCCATCGTGTGTGTGTGTGTGTGTGTGTGTGTGTGTGTGTTGTGTGTTGTGTGTATGTGTGTGCATTGTGTGTGCATATGTGTAATGTGTGTACGTGTGTGTATTGTGTGTATGTGTGTGTGCGTGTTATGTGTTGTGTGTATGTGTGTGCATGTGTATTGTGTGTGCACATGTGTAATGTGTGTACGTGTGTGTGTTGTGTGCATGCATGTATGAGTGTGTTGTATGTTGTGTGTGTGCACATGTGTAATGTGTGTACATGTGTGTATTGTGTGCATGTGTGTGTGTGTTGTGTGTGTACATGTGTATGTGTGTGTATTGTGTGTGCACATGTGTAATGTGTGTACGTGTGTGTATTGTGTGCATGTGTGTATGTGTGTATGTGTGTGTGTGTGTGTGTGTGTGTGTGTGTGGTGTGTGTGTGTGTAGCTGGTTCCTGGTTCCTGACTCCTGGTAGTTCTGCTCACCTGAGCTCCTGACAGGATTAGCCTCTCATGTGGAGCTTCACCCATCAGCCTGGTGTCCACACTGGCTGCAGAAGTACCATGGGAAATGGGACACAGGGCATCCTGTGGATGGGGCCTTCCCTGTCAAGAAGTGTGGCTGACCACACTCTGGGATGTGACACTGTGGTCTGTGATGAGTACAAAGATGGCACAATGAGGTCATGGATGTCTCAGGTGGGTGTGCTGGTGGTCACCATGGTGGTCACTCACCATCCAGTATCTCTCCTTCATGATCAGTGATGGGCCACCCTGTGAATTTTTTCCAATAAACTTGATATATTCTTAAAAATGAAGGTGACCTTTAACCATGAAAGAGAAAGCAAGTGTTTCAAAA